ATGGGAGAGGCAAAAACTGACTTTGAAAAGGATATATCCATTACGTGAGCAAATCAACCAAAGCTCTTCTTTAACAATATCGGTAATAAGGCTAAAAAAAAGTAATCAAAGCATTCCCATCGCAGACAAATGCATTATTTGAATTAAGCAGGATGTGAGTGACATCCTTAATCAGAAACTCAGTCAGTGTTTGGTCAGAGCCCCTCCTCTGAAGTCGAAAGAAACGACAGATATCAATCACAATATCGAAAACATCAAACTCGTAAGGAATGGAATGTCACACGAAAAGGGTTAGACATGCGATCTCCTCTTGTGTTCATGGGGAATGTCCTGAACAATTGTGTACACCTTTATTGTTTATAGACAAGTTTCCTATCCAGTGCAAAATGTAAGCATTCAGAAAAGAAATAAGGAGGAAATGCCACTTGAAAACACTGTAAGCATTNACCCCCCCACACATATATCCCCCAATACACACTCACCCCCCACATACATCTCCACACAAGCACACATCCACCAGAAAACCCCACACACACATCCGACACCCAGCTCTATCCTGTCTTGTGTCATGTTTTGTGTTTTTGTTACTTAAGAATAAAGAATAAAGCCATATACAAGTATCACTCCTGCCCACCAGTCTTAATATAGGAGATATACATATCTTACACACTCACACACACGCATGCATATGCACATACAATCAATCACTCACAATGACACGCATACACACATATATACAGACACACATGCACACACACATGCGCACACACATGCACAAACACACGCATATGTACACACACACACGCGCGCACACACATACACAGACACATCACACACACACACACACACACACACACACACACACACACACACACACACACACACACACACACACACACACACACACACACACACACACACACACACACACACACACACACACACACACACACACACACACACACACACACACACACACACACACACACACACACACACACACACACACACACACACACACACGCAGACACACACGCAGACACACACGCAGACACACACACACACGCAGACACACACGCAGACACACACACACACACACACACACACACACACACACACACACACACACACACACACACACACACACACACACACACACACACACACACACACACACACACACACACACACACACACACACACACACACACACACACACACACAGACACACCACACACACACACACACACACACACACACACACACACACACACACACACACACACACACACACACACACGCACACACACACACACACACACACACACACACACACACACACACACACACACACACACACACATACACACACACACACACACACACACACACACACACACACACACACACACAGACACACACACACACACACACACACACACACACACACAGACACACACACACACACACACACACACACACACACACACACACACACACACACACACACACACACACACACACACACACACACACACACACATATGCCTGCATGAATGTAGATATATATTAAGCATGTTTCAAATTATGAGCAGTCTCATATATCTTGCATATATAATTTATTGATTACCAATGGTGTTCTACTTACCTTAACTTTTTTTTTAAAGGAAGTGCCACGGATTAAATTGAAGGAAGCTGGAGAGTATGGCAGCCTCAAATTAGGCTCCACTAGTAGAACCCCTATTTTCATGAGTGATGTAAGAACTATGCTGGTGAATGCTATTACCAAAACTCATAAAGTGGCAAGGTAAGTTAATGTCTTATTGTAATAATAATGAATAAGGACTCATTACAATATATTAGTATTATAATTAAAGAGTTACATATATATACATACATCTTGTATGTATGTTTGAAAAATATGTTGAAATGACCAACACTTTTAAAAAAGTGGGGTAACTGTCATCCAATTTGGCTAATATCATTTTGGTCAAATTAGCCAAAATGACTGTTTCAAAATTCCTATTGCTAACCCAGGAAATGGTATCCTACCTAGAGACTACCAGTCATGGCGTACATTACATTACATTCCACACTCGTTTATCAGTGGTATTAATACAAATGCCCCTTTCTAAATGCCTAATCACCCTCAAAGAGGTTTGTGCACTCGTGGCGATTTTTTCTTTCTTTCTTTCTTTCTTTCTTTTTTCTTTCTTTCTTTCTTTCTTTCTTTCTTTCTTTCTTTTCTTTTTCTTTCTTTCTTTCTTTCTTTCTTTCTTTCTTTCTTTCTTTCTTTCTTTCTTTCTTTCTTTCTTTCTTTTTTGTCACCCCGTCACCCTGGCGTTTGCTCATGACCTTGAGCCCTTGAGCTAAATTTTTTCACAACGTGGTCTCATCACCCGGCTGTAAGGGGTTAACAAGCACAATGGAGGTTTCCTCAGAGGCTTGTTACAATGCTATGCATGCCTGAATTTATGCCATGGCTGTTGTGGACCAAACGCTAGGGGCATCATGTCATGCCCATTCCCGCACTTCTGGCTCGTCGGACGGAGGTTGTTTTTCTCCAGTAGTAGCGGCTTCATTTATATGGTAATGATTTTAGGCAATGGCACCTAAAGTAAAGGTAAACCTTAAAAATTTTAATATTTTTATAAATTTTAGCAAAATAAAAGCTTTTAGGTGCTAAATGTCGCACGCAAACTACCGATCGAGCCGGGCACAAACGGGAAACTGCCGGTGGGCGCCAACAAGCCCATGCATACGTAAACTTGCCAAAATTTTTTCCCGTCACTGATGGGTTAATGTGGCATTTTGAGTGAATCATTCTTACCTTCTATGAGATTGTGATTACAGTGTTGTCCTGTTACCAGCTGAGGTGACACTGGCTCGTTGCTGGTCATCGTGACTGGAACAGCTGATTGTGATGTTTGAACCTACCAGTATAAATTAAGAAGAATATAGAAAACTAAAACAATGTTTTTTTGTTAATTTTAAAAAGTTAAAAAAGCTGGGTATATAACATTCTTTTAAATAATTGTACATGTTATTTACAATTAAATCACTTTGAAAATCAGATTTATGGTCATACATCTATCCCTATTTATCTTATATATAAACAGTTTTCCAGAACTTTTTTCCCCTTTAGTGTTGCAATTATTTTCCTTGCACATATTCATACCATATGTGCATTATACTTTGAAGTTTATCTTGATTATCAATATATATTTTCCCATGATATATAGCTATATTCATATACCTTTTTCTAAACAAATTTTATCCTGAAAGGGTTAAAGTTACCCACATAGGTTGTATCATTTTATGTTCATCTCCCTTTTTTATCAATTGCAGATGGGCTTGTATCACAAATGGGCACAGGCTGTCACAAATCATCACTGTAATTGTGGAAGGAATAAGCATAATGGACCTTCAAAAGGCAACAAGTAGCAGTGTTAACAATGAGGAAGAGATAAGTTCTGAAAATGACCCAGTTTGGTTATGTGAATCATTGCCACGGGCTAGCAAGTGTATGGAACAGAAGTTGGAATTGCTAGCACCTTCAAAATACTCTGAACCACCCTGTAGAGAGCTTTTAAATGTTCCTCTCTCAGATACTAAGAAAAATAAACTAGTTAAAAGTATGGCTGCTGTTAATATTTACAGTTGTAATTCAATAAGTTTTATGTTAAAAACATGAATCTGCCCGTATTTGAAAAAATCATAATTCTCTATATATTCTAATACATTTCAAATTCAGGCTTTCTTAATAGAATATTTTCTTGTTTTACAGGATACAGAAATTTGAAACATGCTGAAAGAAGTGGCTTAGTGCATAAAGCTGTTGCCAGTCTTTTTCCTCTTGCAAATGTGAACAGTAAAGAGTTAATTCAAAAGAATGAATGTGACAATATACCGTTTTATTTTGAGGATGGGAAGAAGTTCGAAATTAATGACAATTTTGATAGAAGATGTTTGCTCTTAGGAGCTGAAGATATGTGTGACCATGGTTTCCCAGCACCTGTACCAGGATGCCTTGGCTATAAGGATCCAGAATATTCCTTCTCCCATGAAGAGTATAAGGAGGTTAGATATTTATGTTTTTGTCATTTTCCATTTACCCATGAAGGAGCAGTTAGTCATGCACATACAGTTGTTAGTTTTTACTAGCCTTATAATACAGGTTTACAGTCAGTTTTCCAGCATCATGGGAACCTGGAAAGGACCAGAAACAGGAAACTGAATTTGCTTAATAACTGATGCATTCGTTATAGGGGCAGGGTCATTCCATATTGCATGGCATAATATACAATTTTAGTTTTTACACCATGTGGCCCTTTTTTCTGTCGTAAGTACTTGGAACCAGACATATGCCTAGTAAAATAGCAATACTAATATCATTGTGCAATATAGCAGTTCAGTGCTGGCTTCTTTAGCCATTAGGGAGAGGAGAGGGAGAAATACAGGGGGAAGGGTCTGTACTAACTATGCTCTTGTTTAGCAATGCAGCTGTAGGAAAACAAGAAAAGTCAAAAAGAAGATATGGAAAGAAAAAGCAGGAAAGGAGACTGCAGCCCACACGTTGCCTCTACCCCTGTCCCTCCACACCCTAGGCTTGCAGCCATTCTTGGCCTCCCTGCTGCTAATTATCACTTGATTATTACTTGGTGGTGATGATGAGTAACATTAGCAACACTGCTGCATATCAGACAACTAATAATTGTGTTGCAAGTTTAGAAGTCTTACAACATCAATATCTCAATAGTAGATTATTGTTAAGGGGACCGTCCCTGAGGAGGGGGGGACATGGGGTCAAATTGAGTCAGCTAGCATATAGTATAGGTACATGGATGAGGAAACAACCAAACAAGTATTAAACGCCTGCTATGGCTCGTTTTCCTGCAGCCGACACGAGACCCACTGAACACCTGGGGAGATGCGTCCCTAATGAGCGCCCAGGTACACCTGTGTGGACTTCTGCTTGCTGCAATCGTGCATACAGCATT